CAGAAATCAATAAAGTAACTAAATTCATAGTTTATTATATAACATATATTCATAATTCGGTACTTTAATTGAACATAATTTGAATTCTAATATTTTCCAATATAGTGTTTCATCAAGATAAAAAATTCAAGAAATCTTGTCTTGCAAGAAATCTTGTTTGGTTTTATCTCGACTCAAGACCAAAACAAAAAATTGGAAATTGATTTTAAGAAATTGTTGTCAAGAAATTGTTGACAAGAAATTATTATCCATTTATTGACAATATGGCAAGAAATTTTTTGAATTTTCGACTGTTTTTATTTTTAATAATTTATTATATTAATATTTTTTTATTTTATTTCTGATTTAAAAAGTTTTGAATAAGTTAGATTTCAACATTTTCATTTGTATTTATTGGTATTTATAACAGATTATAAATACCATTAAATAATATAGATTTCAATATTATATAATATAGAAATGTATATTCATATATTTTCATTAAATAGCAAAATAGCATATGAGCAGAGTGTAAATCGATTAATGAAAAAGACAGTGAAATCCCTAACCAAATTAAATTAATAACTCGACGATTGTTGTACTAGATATTAACCTTTACATTTATGTGTAAAGGAATATATATAAAATTAGTATTGCGAGATTACTGGCAAAAGTATAATATATTGCGTATAAATTTGCGTAACTTCTACTAATAGTATCAATTAAATCAGGAATGAGATTAAAATATATAGTAATTATTATTATTATTATTATATCTAATAATCTCAGGAATCTAATAATTTAAATAGTTACATTTGGTAGTAATCTCATGATATCAAAAATGATAATATGAAAAATATTTTTAATCTTTATTATTTGACTTGTGCATAATAGACATTATATGCACACATTTAAACCATGAATTTAAACATATTAAACTACGACTTGACATTTAATTTGTATCTATGTTTTCTTATTATCTCTTACGACGTAGTCAAAATCACAAGGGCTCTGCGTAAAAAATGAAGCAATATCAAGAAATTCAAGATTCTTGTCTCGATGAAACACTATTATGTATATTTTATATTATATATATTATATATATTATATATATTAAATATTATATATATATTATGATATAAATACAATTCTGAAATAGATGAACATAATTACATGAAAAATGTTGTAGTTAAAGGGAACAAGTATAAAGATCAAAGAAAAATTCCATACATCTCATTATTTATATTCTCTCATTATATTATCATTTTATTTTTTATTTCTTATCTACGAAATACATAAAAATCTTATATAAGATGAAATGTATACACAGTACATGTAACTAAGTATGTATATTATATGTGGATTATCTTATAATAAATAGAACTTTCATAATTTTCATTATATGTATATATCATTAATATTTTAATGTTTTCAAAATATTATA